AACAATCTCTAAAATGCATTGCAAAATAATATTTCAAATATCTGATATTTTCTATGCCAAAATATAAAAATAGCTCTTAAATCCAATCTACTCAAGATTCAATACTTCATAAAAAACTAAGTAAAATCCTAATTCATGGCCTGATTTTTTTGTTATTTTTACTATCTATCTATATATATATATATATATATATATATAGATCTATTTATTTATTTATAAGAAAGGGATCAATTAACGAAGGTATATTATAGCGTGTGAATTTTTTTGGATTTCACAAAGCTCATTCCGAGCCTACAAATTACAATTAGTTAGCGTTAGGGGAAAATCTCAAGAAGAAAGAAACAAAATGATGCATAATTTGGTGATAAAGTGGTTTAAATTATTCATTTGGCAACAGATTGCTACTTAAAAAATTGTGTACGCAGTTATTTGCGTGTATTTTAGTTTTGTTTGAAGGTTTTAGTTAACTGGGTAGAGACGAGAGGTACCGGAATTGTATATATTTAAAACAACGGGGAAGAAAAAGTAAGTAAAAAAATATATTTTGATGATTTACATACATATCCACTCAACTGCTATCGATTTACATATCTATACTTCAATTTTACACTCGCACAAACATAGAAATTGGGTGGTATGTATGTAAATCCTCCGAATGTTATGATAAATCTGATTGCTTGGCTAATTAATGAAGCTATGGAAACTATTAGGAACATGTAAACAAAGACAAGGATTATTCATATTTTCAGCTCTTAAAAAAAAATAATAATAATAATAATTCTTATATCATTACATCAATTGCTAGTTATAATTTTTGGTGAATCTACCGTGACTTTTTGAGATGTTCTAATAACATGACTAGTCTTTTATAATTTTGTGATGAATCAGGCGAAGACTCATCCTATAGTTGAGTACATACTATCTGTTAAAGTTAGAGATTGATTTCGCCAACTCTCGCTCTCGCCTCCTCATGTTTCGCGAATCGGCACCAATTCCCGCCTCCCGCTCGATCGCAACAGGTCGCGAATCGTCGCGATATCTCCCGGCGTAATCGTTCCCGCCTCCATTTCACAAAACGCCGCCTCCTTTCATTCCATAGCTTCCTGTTCGCGATAAAGGCTTCGGACGACTCTCTTTTTTGTTCTAAGTCACGGTTGGTGTTCTTCCTTGGGCTTCCTCGAGATAGAAGGAAGAGAAGTGCATGAGGTAGTTCCTTGCAGCAGAAGGAAGAAAAAGATTGTTCTCCTTGAAGATTGTTCTCCCTTGACATCTTCTTGGTGGCTTGTATCGAAAGAGAAATTGGTTTTATTTCTCTTGTAAGTTTATCTTCTTCAGTGTCTCTCGGTGTACAGTTTTTTCGGTGTATCTCAGTGTAGAGAGAAATAAACAGAGAGAGAAGAAGAGAGAGCAACGAAGTGAGAGTGAGAGATTCCTCTTGTAAGTCGAGATGATCCATTGATGTAAATGTAGTAAAACCCTCGGCAACGCTGTGTACGTAGGAAATTTAACGAACCACTTAAATCTGTGTGTTCCGCTGTATTGTTTTTTTTGTGTGAATTTTCTCGTTCTATTTTTCACTTCAAAAATCATTCTCCAGTTTGATTTATATATATACCACACCAACTGGTATATCTAGATCTCACAACATTAACTGGTATCAGAGCTTTGTTCGGGTTTGAGGAAAGACGATGACAACAGATGAAGTGAAGGTTTCAAGGATCGAGAAGTTTGATGGCACATATTTTGGTTATTGGAGAATGCAGATAGAAGATTATCTTTATGGGAAGAAACTTCATCATCCATTATTGGAAAAAATATTTGAAAAGATGGATGAGGCTGAATGAAATTTGTTGGATCGACAAGTTCTGCGGGTTATTCGATTGACCCTTGGAGGTCCGTTACACACAATGTTGTTAAGGAAAGGACGACTGCAGATCTCATGACAACTTTATCAGGTATGTATGAAAAGCCATCGGCGAATAACAAAGTGTACTTGCTGAAGAAATTATTCAACTTGAAGATGATGGAAGGTGTTTCTGCTGCTCACACCTGAACAATTTCAATACTATCACAAATCAATTACCTTCTGTTGAAATTTATTTTGATGATGAGATACGTGCGCTGATATTGTTGGCATCGTTTCCAAATAATTGGGAAACCATGAGGATGGCAGTTAGTAGTATATAAATTGAAATGCGATGATATTCGTGATTTGATTTTGACTGAGGAAGTTCACAGAAAAGATTCTGGCGAGATCTTAGGTACTAGTTCGGCACTGAACATTAATTTCAGAGCGAGATGACATGACCGGAACTCAAATAAAGGGAGATCCAAATTATAGTCTGTTCAGCAGACAATTTGCTATAATTATGGCAAGACTGACCACGTAAAGAGGAACTGCAGGAATCCCAAGAAGATGGAGAATGATAGCGCAAATGTGATATCTGAAGATGTATATGATGCACTATTGCTGGCAGTTCATAGTTCTGTTGATGATGGAAGTGAAGAGGAGAGTGGGTCTAGGACACCCATTCCTATTGTTCCACAGAGAGATAGTGGAGAACCACATAACTATAAAGAAATCTTGCAAGCTAAAAGTTCGAGCAAGTGGGAGCTGACAAAACTTCCAAAACCTTCCACCATGGAAGAAGACATTACGCAACAAATGGGTGTACCAGGTGAAGACTGAGCATGATGGTAGTAAGAGGTACAAGGCTAGACTTGTTGAAAAAGTCTTTCAGCAGAGGCAGGATATTACCCATGCAGTGGGACCCATGCATTGGGAGTTGTAAGCAGAGGCAAGAGTAAATAAAGAAATAACTTCAAGGGCCAAGGCTATTTGGACTCTGTTGATATGTTGACTGATGTTGTTACTCTTGAGAAACTGAAGTTGTGTACAGCTTCAGTTGCTCTTCTGGAGTGAGGAGAAGGCTTTGAGCTGAAGAGAAGGAGGATTCAAGTTGGAGGATTCATGCTTGAAGAAAAAGGCAACACAGACAGTGGAGGATATCAGTTCGAGGAAGAAGACGTTGTAGTCTGTGTATCGATTTCTAAGTTGGAGATTGTTAAAGCTGGAGACCTATTTCACTAACTCTCGCTCCCGCCTCCTCATGTTTCGTGAATCGGCGCCAAATCCCGCCTCCCGCTCGATCGCGACAGGTTGCTAATCATCACGACATCTCTCGACACGAACCATTCTCACCTCCATTTTGCGAAACACTACCTCCTTTCATCTCGAAGCTTCCTATTCGCGATAAAGGTTTCATACGGCTCTCTTTTTTGTTCTAAATCACAGTTGGTGTTCTTCCTTGGGCTTCCTCGAGATAGATTGAAGAGAAGTGCAAGAGGTAGTTCCTTGCGATAGAAAGAAGAAGAAGAAGAAGAAGAAGATTGTTCTCCATTTGGTTTCGTTTTGGTGGCTTGTGGCAAATGAGAAATTGATTTTTATTTCTCTTGTAAGTTTATCTTTTTTAGTGTATCTCGATGTAGAGCTCCTTCGGTGTATCTCGGTGTAGAGAGAGAAGAACGGAGAGAGAAGAAGAGAGAGCAACAAAGTGAGAATGAGAGATTCCTTTTGTAAGTCGAGGTGATCGACTGGTGTAAATTCCTCAAGTAGTAAAATCCTCTGCAACTCCGTGGACGTAGACAATTTACCGAACCACATAAATTTGTGTGTTCCGCTGTGTTATTCTTTTCTGTTGTTAATTTTGTCGTTCTATTTTTCACTTCAAAGATCGTTCTCCTGTTTGATTTATATATATACCACATCAAATTGTATATCTAGATCTCGCAACAACACTATCATCGATCAAATTCTTGTGGTTCGTTTGAGTTTGCCCCAACTTCTAATATCGCCTTTCATTGATATCACAAAGTAAATATTAGAAAAAATTAGGCATCCAAAAACATTTTTGAAACAGGAAAAATTCTTTAAAAAGATTAACAATTTTCAAATTATTTATTATATAATCATTTATTTCCAATATTGATGTTTTGTGTTTATGAATTACAACAAGTACTTATTACATAAACATTTTCTAAAATGAAAAAAAAAATACAATATAATTTTATTATCAAAATAACGGTTCAAAACTCAGATCTACCAACTCTTCTTCCAAAATTGGTGAGGCTAACATAATTAATCCTCAATAAAGGGTTGGACCAAATCTTTCCCGTGCCATCAATGTGAGAGAGGCTAGAGCAACGAACAACAAAGTGCTATTTCGGCAGAGGCAAAACTGATATTTAATAAGTGCAAAAGGCAAATTATCTTCTCAGATAAGTAAAAATCAGATTTTTGAAGAGGAGTAATTGCCCCATTCGGACCCTACCTGGGTCAGACCCTGATCCCGCAATATTTATAGCATGAGTTGCCTAGTCCCCAACTTGTTTGAAGAGTAGTCAACAATGAACATGAATGGTATATAATCCTTATTAGTGTGGCAGAGTATCTTTAAGAATGACCTTATTAATATAGCAAGTGGCTCTATAGGTCTAGCAAGTGCCTCTAGATGCAAATATTTCTGGAGAGTCCACCATGACTTTTGACAAGTTTCTCTAAAAACATTGATCAAATTCTTGTGGATCATTTTGAGTTTACCCCAACTTCTAATCTCGCCTTTAATTAATATCGCAATTTAAATACCTGAAAATTTCAAGTATCCAAGAAAATATTGATAACAAAAAAATACTTTAGAAGATTTAAAATTTTCAAATTATTTATCAAATAACCATTTATTTCCAGTAAAGATGTTTTGTGTTGGAGAATTACAGTAACTGCTTACTACTTGAATAGTTTTTAAAAGGAAAAAAATTATAATATAATATTATTATGAGAATCACGATGACTCACGATTTCCATCTACCAACACCCCTTTTAGAAATGGGGAGGCTAATCTAATTAATCTTCATAAGAATATTGAAACAACTTTCCCTTCCCATCTTGTGGGCCCTTCTTATATATGGAACAGAATGCTTCTAAATCAACTCCGAATAAATACCCTCTAAAGCTCCCGTTTCCCCTTCTGTACCCCCATTTCTCCTCCCTCCCCTCCCTCAATGGTAGTTGAAGCACACCAACGTCTACCATACTTCCCCCAGCTCCACTTTGACCGGTATTACTTCATTCTTTATCATCTTCTTTAATGTATTTCGTTAGAGCTCATTTATTATCTCCTCCTCTTCTATTTACAACCTCTTCTTGTCTTTAATCATTAATGAATAACAGAGAGATAATAAAAGTGGTTGATTCCCAACCGCCGGAGCTCGGCGATGCTTTTATCTCCACTGCAGCGACTGTTTCCATGAAACGGCAGGGAGAAGCGCTCACATTTCATCGAGATGACATCTTCTCCTATGTCCACCATAATATGCTCGACCTTGACCGTCTTCTTAATGATCACGTAAGTTTTTTTTTAATCATAAAAAATAAGAAAAACTAATGAACTTATCTTGATTGATAAGAAGATACTTAACAATTTTCCTATAGTACTTAAAAAACTAAAAAATTAAGTAATTTTTATTTTTCGATTAGTTTAAAAATGTAAATATTTAATTTCCAAGGTATGGCAAAATAGTACAATATGAAGGCTGTCGTTGATATTAGTAGCGGAATCCGAGGTAGCTTAATATTTTCTGTTACATGAGATCAGAAAATAAAGATTATCTTTTTGGGATCAGAAAATCTTATATATTTGTATATAATTTCAAAAAGTTTAACTTTTAAATATTTTCTTAGAATCAAGTATCTTATAATCCTAATTCTATCATTGTACGACATTAACAAAAAAATTATTATGGAAGGCCATAACTAAAAAGTTGAGTTTATTTAATAGGTATATATATATACACTCTATCCGATTTATTTTATATATATTCTGTTAGATCTATTCTGAAATAAAATATAATGTTTAGCTAATCAATTAATTTTATTTTTTTCTTAATGAATTAATAATTTAAAATTTATAAAGATATATATATATTAGTCATCAATTCAAAATATATGTTTGAAAAAGTATATTTAGCATTAAGAAAATTATTATTAGTAATATTTTTTTGTAATTTAAAATTTTAAATGTTATATAAATAAATATAAAAGTTTACCCCTTAATAATTTGACCTAAAATTTATCCAAATTGTATCATGCACCTCATACTAAAAATCAATTTATCTCCCCACAGAACGAAAGAGTTCGACTTGAACTAGCGGAACGGAGGCGTCTGTTCACCCAGCAGCTAATGGCAGCTGTGGAAAAAGGCATGTTGAAGCAACTAAAGGCGAAGGATTACGAGATCGAACGAGCCAACAAAATTAATTTGGAATTAGAACAAAAAGTTCGCAGTCTCTCCTTGGAGATTCAAATATGGCGAGAACTTGCTCAAACCAACGAGACTAACGCCAATGTCCTCCGAATCAATCTCGAGCAAGAACTGATCGCCACGCAGCTTCGTCTGAAGGAGCAGCAGCGGTCGTGTACGGAGTCAAGAGCCATAGTTGATGATGCCGAGTCCTATTGCTGTGGGGAGAGCGATGGAATGGTGTCAGTTTTTAGACCAATGAGGTCTTGCTGGAGTTGCACGCTGGAGGAGGCGACGGTGTTGATGTTGCCTTGTCGTCATCTTTGTCTCTGTGTGGATTGTGGTCGTGGCTGTAATTTCTGCCCTGTTTGTAAATGCTCGAAGGCTGGTAGCGTTAATATAAATTTATCTTGAATTATTTTTTAACTGAGAAAAAACAGGAAGTAAGACGACTTTTTTTTTTCTTTTTTTATTTATAACCTCCTAATACGAGTGGTAACCGTAATTAAATCGAGTTAATCTGTTCTTATCTTTGATTAGTTATTTTTAATTGATTTCGATTTGTTTATATTTGATGTTATTTAGTTTTATTTTGGGTCAATTTTTTAACAGATCGAATGATTTTTTTTTTTTTTTGAAAATTGCGTGATGTTCTGGACTTTTATCGAGATGGCTCATTAAGATAGTTGTGTATCAAATCATGATTTAAATTGATATAAATCTTGACCTGTTCAGATTTTTTTTTCCTGCTCATAAGGCGGAGGTGGCCCCATCGGTTTTTTATTTTATTTTATTTTTTATGTTTTTTACATGACGGAAGGTCAGAAGGCCTTTTACGAGCAGAAGCAAATCCTCCAAAGTGGTCAGCAACTCTTATACAAAAGTATCCCCAATTTCTTCACCCTTGACTATGCCTTTTTCTCAGCGCAGTTAAAATGATATGCTGATGCTTGTAAATACTGAAATGCCATGAATTTATGGCTTGATTTTGAGCGGTTTCCTGACAATCATTCCCTGTTGGTTTGCCTGAATTTTCAATGTTTCTTAATGTCTAACGAAAGTTTTTTACCAATTGAATTTTTGTTCCACCTGAACTTTTTGCTTCATGAAATTGGTACTGGCGTCTAACTTTCCTGGGAATCATTCCATGTTGGTTTGCTTGAATCTTCTTTGATGGGGTTAGTTTGAATGATATATTTATGCATCTATGCATATGCTTAACTCGTCCATTCCTCCTGGTTGTAGAAAATGCAAGTATTATGGAATTCCTACATTTGTAGGCTTCTAAATATTTGTTGTGATGCGGTATGTATGATTATGTTTAATTAAATGTTTTGCTTATCTGATATGAATAGAAAATATTTATTGCCGAACAATATGAGGAAACGAAACAGAGAATGCTAGAATTGAATAGTTATATGATTGAGGCAAATTTTAATTAACAAACATTGATATTAAAAAGTTCTAAATAAAATAACAAAGATAAGAGAACATGACAGGACATATTTTCTGTTACATGAGATCAGGTAGCTTAGTATGCGTGGTTCTGACAGTGAAAATGTTAGCCACATTAAATTGATGGAGCTGCTTGAGAGCATTTATAGGATTTAAGATTCAATAAGGAGGATGCTTAGATTCTGTTAAGAATGCTTCAATACACTTTAAAATTCACAAAAAATATTTGGAAATAATTATCAGCATTTCTCCAAGCGCAAGTAATATATAATCCTGGATTTCTGCTGTATGGTAGACACCGATCTGTGATTATCATCTACGGATCCAAAAATACTATTGTGAGCTTCCTCACTTGACCTCCATAACTTCATGTATGCTAGCGATAATCCATACATATTCTCTAATGTATATTTGATATTTTTAGAGTGATATCAGGATCCTTCCAAACAACACCTTGAATATGTTGCACCGCCCATAATGAAGTTGCTACTCTCCTGCTTTATTCACCGTGGGGCATAAGTGAGTTCCCTATAATTTTCTCAATTCAAAGGATTGTCCATTTACTGTAACTGAAGCTCGCACTCTCCAAGGGCATCATCTATATGAACATATAGCTATAACTTAATGTTTGTTACAAGATTGAACTTTCAGTCCAAATTTATTCTTAATGACATAAGAACAGAGAGCATTTTTGAAAGCAAGCTAACCAATAAAAATTATCATCGTAGATTTCAGAATCTTGAATTACATCCAATGCTCTATTGCCATCGCTTGGAACTGCATCTCATGATTGCATAATCACTTCCACTCCCTCTTGAGTTATAACAATAATCTCAACCCGACTTCTCCCTTTTGAACTTGCACTTATTGTAAGAACTTCATCATCACTTGCAAGTAATTTGTCATTCTTTTGGTGTATTTCCAATAATATGATAATATATTTTTAGTTGGTGCCAGCTTAGCCAACCACAAATCCTTCTAATCTCTACTTCTAGTGATAGTAGACTCAATTTATTTTCTTGAACCTTTATAGTTCTCTGTTTGTCCCCATTTTAATTCTTCCTATCTTAGTTTTCTACTTGGGTCCATTAGCAACTAAATTTAAAAGTTATTAGCAAGTTCTCACTTACACTAGGTTGCATGTCCAAAATTTGAAATGAAGGCCACTGCATTACAATAAATAAATTATTGGTTAGATAAACTAATGAAACATTTCAATCATTTATGCCTGTGTAGAAAAAATGATTTTGCAAATAAGCTACCTTACTTTCTCCATGTTCATATTTATGTTCCATATCGATATCCATGAGTTAAAAAAGTGATGAATCCTCCTCAATAACTTTTGAAGGTAATTTAATTGCAACAGTGTTAGTGCCACAAAAAATTATTAGTTAGACACTCCTAAAAAAGTGCCACAACTTTTCATATCAAATAAAAATACCACTTTTTTTCATGCATAGGTAAACATAAGTTCCTTTATGATTATAAGTGAAAATTGAAGTTTGGATGCTGGGTATGTAAGTTGAAATATAAACTTGACTTTAGTTGTTTAAATAAAGCCCAATAAGAGCCTAATTCTAGAATGTGTGGTAGGTATGAAATTATTGTGTGGTAGGTGTCGTAGGTATGGAATTATTGTGTGGTAAATATGAAATTATTTGTAACCATTAGATTAGAATTATAGTGGCACAATCCTAGCCGTTAATTTAAGATTTGCCACTAGTATAAATAGAGGTAGAGTCTTTGAGTTTATATCAAGCCAAGTAAAGGTGATAAATAGAAGTAAAGTTTCTTTCATAAATTTTTAACCTTTGTCAATTCCTAAAAGCTTCTCCATTCCAACAAAGTGGCATCATAGCCTAAAGGTTCCTTTACAGAGCAATGATAAATGGTGATATGGTTTTCTTCAAAGTTTCGATGCTTAAGAAAAGAATCTAGATAATTGGAGTATCAAGATAAAAGCACTTCTTGGAGCGCATGACGTTTGGGAGGTTGTGGAGAAAGACTACGGTGAGTCAAGTGAAGAGTGATACACCGAAAATATATGCATTTTTAGACCCATATTTTATACTCATTTTTGGTGATATTGCACTTTAATGGAAGGTATTTTGATGTTTTCTTGCATGTTGTTGATTTTTAGGACTTAAAGCAAAAAAAGATGAAATTTGGAGTCAAAATTACGTTTTTGAAGAAATGGTCAGCGCCGACAGCTCCGAGGTCAGCGCTGACGGTGCAAAACAACTTAAGGCTGGAGATTTTTACTCAGCGCCGAAGGCGCCCGACCAGCCGAAGGCGCCAGACCAGCACCGACGGCGCCAAAAGCGGTGCAGACCCAGTTTCTAGAAGGTTCGATGTAGTTGGACAATTTTTTGAAGAGTTTTTGGAGGCACCTCTTGGAGAACTGACCTTGGGCTCTATTTGGGGCCGAATTTCATCAGCAAAAGTGCTCCTCTACGTTTTTCACTCCTCTACGTTTATTTTTCGCACCACATCATTCCATTCCACTACCATATTGGAGTCAATTTTTTATTTTGCTTTCATAGTTTAGAGTTTTTGTGGTGATATTTAGTGTGAAATTTTCTGTAAGAGTGTTGGAGAAGGAGAAAAGTGAGAGATATCTTCTTCCTGCATTTCTAAGGAAAGGCTACAAAGGATTTGCTTTGAGAAAGAGTTTTCAGATAAGTATTGTTTGTTTATATGTGTTGTATGAACTTTCTTTTATATATGAAATTTGTGTTTGTTATTTCTTTCTCATGAAGTCTGAGTAGTTCCCTCTCCCTACTTTGAGATATGGTGAAATGAAGAGATAATATGGATGTGTCAATATTAAAATGTAAAATAAATTGTGATGGTTTTCAACTCTGAAGTTAATTTACTTTTCAATCTAGTCAATTGAATTGTTAAAATGTGTTGTGAAACATATGATCCGGGAAATGGAGTATGAGTTCTACAACAGAGTGAGGATCACATTTGATTTCATGGAGGAGAACATCGTTCATAGAATTAAGTGCAAATAAATAGGGAAATATTCTTTGTTGGGTGTAAAATTGGAGAACCTTTAGGGTGACAGACTATTAATCTTAGTGTTTAAAAACTAAAGTGAGAGCTAGCCTTCAGGTGGAGGGAAGTGGGAGCTCTGGAGTGGGAGGTGTTTGTTATTCTCCTTACCACGGATTTAAGGACTAAACACAGAGATTAGCTAATGATTTTCTAATGCAGTGTATCAGGGTAGAGAATCAAAATTTCTCCTATTTGGCACAATACATATTATGAACATTTGTCTCATCTCATTTTACCATAGATTCATTATAATAGGAAGGATGTTTTTTCACATAAGAATCTTCGTTACATAAACATAGTTAATAGATTAGTATTTACTGTTTTAAAATTTTCATTTTTGATTTGATAATAGTTTAGAAATTTAATTTTGATTACATCTCAATAATTGAAATTAGTGACAGTGATTTGAATTGACTTTCTGTGAATTTTCTAGCAAATTTATCATTTCCAATTTTAACCTTCCTCGTGGGATCGATATTTGGGGTTTAAATAGAAAGTCTATTATTACTTGATAACGATACGTACACTTGCATAGAATTCAAATATCAATTGATTATACTTATTTAAATTTTACACAATCTATCACAACAAAAAAATCGGATCAACAAGTTTGCTCTATCAACAACACAAAAGGATATCTGAAGAGACTTACGAAAGAGAAACAAGAAGGCTCTCTTGCTCATCTATCAAGCTTTAAATGAAGATTGTTTAAGGAATATCTCAAGTGCTACTTCGGCTAAGCTAGCATGGGAGAAGCTCGAGGTCTCATATAAGAGAGAAGAGAATGTTAAAAAGGTACGACTTCAAACTTTAAGAAGCCAATTTGATGCTTTGCAAATGAAAAAAGACGGGTTGGTCTCCGATTATTTTTCTAGAGTCATTACGATTTCCATTCAACTAAAAAGAAATGGTGAGAAGTTAGAATATGTGGCTATCATGGAAAAGAATCTTCGATAATTAGATTTAAAATTTGATAGTATCACAACCATTATTGAAGAGATCAAGGATTTACAAGCCATGATGATAAAACAACT